TATACAAAAATACAGGAGGCCTGCTGCTCAAAGAATACCTACTTTGTTCTGAGGGAAACTTTTCCTTTCTCCCCTCTTTGGGCTCAACAGGAAAAAACCGCCCTCATTCACCTGGAAGCGGGAAATTAATCAACATTTCTTGAGAAAAAAACAATGAAACTCACCACAACTTCATCCATTGTCATGTTCTCATCGATATAATAACCATCGTTCTGTAAGTACTATAATTAAAATGGACGCCAGAACCAAAAAGCTACCCGTTTCGTGCACTGAGTAGAACGGACAAGATGCGCACAAAATTTGCGCTTTCGAAAATCGGCCAGCTGTCACTTACCGCTTCTCTGGCCTTTTTCATTAGCCGCTTCACCGGGAATGTCATGCATCCTAACATTCGCATCCGCCTAAAAATGGTGCCTTTTACGAAAAGCCGTAATTTCAACACTCAAATTTCCAATATGCGGCTCCCCCACTTTCTTCACGATTTGGGGCGCGGCCGCGGCGAGCGCGGACGAGTTCAGTGCCCGCGAACTGTGTGGGTAAATTTGAAAACGCATCACCACCACAGTTCGCGGGCACTATCGACTCGTCCGCGCTCGCCGCGGCCGCGCCCCAAATCGTGAAGAAAGTGGGGGAGCCCCAATAAGCAGCTCCAATTCGGATATTTTGTGAAATTGCTGCTGATAACCTGAGCAGTTACCAGCTGTGATAAGCTCTTAGTCAGACCCTTAGAACCATAAGTGAATGAACGTACTGTTGATGACTGTCCGCCTTTAATTTGTACACACTTATCGTTAACAGATCACGAAAGTAGTTGTCATCGTCGATATAACTGAAAAAAGCTGTTTGAAACGGATGGAGCCCACAATAAACCAAAGATGTTTGAAAAAGAGTAGTCCTAGAGGTACTTTATGAACTATTCACGCAGCTCGCAGTACTCTACAAGAGACATAGGGCCTGTCACTGATGCTCAAATGGCCCCAAATCTGCTGTCGGCGGTCAAGTGAAGTACAAGGCGAGTTGTCTGCGTTTCGCTCGCATCTATGCTCTCTCATCTATTTTCCCGCATCGACGTCCGCCCTTTCACGTAGCTCCGAAAAGGTCCCAATTTTTAATGTTTCCGACAGATTCTTTTCTGCACAATCTCAGTTTTTAATTACGGTCAGGCACCGCACTAAGCCAACTCCATAGCCAGCATTAGCCTAACCAAGGTGATTTCTGACTTCTGACGTCTTCTGAAATTACTTAAAGAATGAAGACTTCAAGACATTTGAAACATGAAATTTGCGGAGGAACGAGAATGTTCAATCTGATCTTAAAGGAATCTTGCGCGGAAAAATCATGATTCTATTTCAGCCATAAATCACTGGCTTGAGACTCATTATCCACGATAATAGTGAAAAGAACTGAAGTATTGCTTTCGTTTTGATTAGAAATTCGAAAACTCGAAAAGGCTGCTACGCGTTCGAATTGCCCACGGACGTCTTTCACGAATGCTGGCGACGGGGATGCTCAAACTTGGTTCTTGGAGTGCATTCACTAGAAGCTCTTTCTGGCCTTCTGCTTCGTTGCATTCACATCTTACACTTCTACTCCATCCTATTCCATCGATCGATTTGTCTCCACTCTCCGAAATCGCGCGCTTTAACCCGATTCTCTCATTGCGTCGCCTGGTACGTAGCCGGCCAAACGCCGTCTTCTTTCCATGCCTCGCCTGGCTCTGCCTCCTGGTCCTTCGATGGTCCATAACGTGTAGTTTTTGTACGTTTGTTTCTCTTCAGAAACCGAATCTTCATGCGTGAAACTTTGTGTGCTATTTTTATATTAACTTCGTATAGCATTTTGACTAGTATTCTATTTTTATTGGTAAGAGTGCATAGATTTTCGTTCGGTCTAGTGTATTTTCTTTATGTTCTGTCTTCTGATACTACTGAACGCTTTTACTTTGTACTCATAAGTTTTCGTTGTGATTTGTTGTACTTATAGTAGTAGGACCAAAAATTTTTACCTGAAGTATGTATCGTTTTATTTTCCTTTCTTAACGAGTACACAAATTCCACAATGACTGTCACCTAATATTTTGTAACTGAAGTGAATATCCTCGAGATGCGCTTCTTTATGTTTTCTGTTATTATTAAATAAAAATCGTAACTTTTTCGTTGTTTTGTGCGTTATTTCAGAAAGTATGCCTGTCGCTGAGTAATATTTTAGTCAGAAGGTGAGTCACACCTTATAGTGGTTAAAATTTTATTCAAGGGCTTATTAGCGCAAATTGGTGAGCAGTTTTCGGATCTAAGTAATTTTCGCTCTCTGAAAGTATGTCATAGAGCTATTCCAAAAATTGTCCCATAAAGTACTTTTTTCAGATTTGAAATATCGATCTCTCCAATTAGGGAATCTAATTTTGTCGAAAACTTGAGCACAACTTTTTTTACTCATGACTAAGTAAAAGTGGTGCGTGTGGCACTGATAACCACTGTTACAAGACACACCATGCAACCGGTTTTTCGTTAAGATCTGTGAAGGCAGTTCAGAGTGTACTGTTTCACTCGGGAAACAACTACGATCCTATATCGAAAATTGTCTGGGAAATGCTTGACAATGTTTCTAGCGCCGGTCTCTAAATAATCTGAGCAAACTCAAGAAGGCGAAAAGGATCAATGGAGAAAAGTACTGAAGTGAGCGCAGAAGACTGCATATTTACTTCAAAGCGTCTTTGGTCATGCACAGTTTCCCTCTACTCGCACCTCACCGAGTTCATTTAGGTGTATAGGACTACCCAGCACAGTCCAAAGACTTGCCAACAATTGCAGTTTTAATGACCTTTGGAATGCCCGCACGAAATGGGCGATGGCGCGGCGCGATAAGATTCAAATGCTGAGTGCCGTTAATCAACGAACAAAGAGTGACGCCCGGTGCGGATACTCCACTGGACTAAGCCCGACCCGGAATGAAATTCAGAACCCATTTGGAATGAACTCTCGCTTCTCATGAGCTGGTCATCACCCTCGACGCGGAGGGAAAGTAGCAGTTATACTAAAAAAAAAATGCTGCTATCACTCCTTAAATACGTATTTGTTTTCGACTTGGGCGTATAAAACAGTCAGCGCTGGTACGCAGCTTTAGTGGGCCAAGAAATTCAAACATAACAGGACGAAAGAGGCAAACAAAGAACCACTGAGACTTTCAAGTCAGTATCCAAAATCTTACAATGTGAACTTCTCATTGAACGCAGGTCGATTCGTAGCCATCCAATTTCGAGTTTTGTAGGATTGGATTTTCTCACGATAATGTCGCTTGCGACTGTTACCACATCGTCGCCTCATCTCAACCTATAAAATCGTTTCAATCGTCATTTACTGACAGCAACAGGTTCACATTGTGATCCCGACGCGTTGTGACACTGAGAGTGGGAACGAGTGCGAATGCCGGCTAGCGTCTGTGAAATTGGTTTATCAATCCCCCAGATAGCAAGCGATGCGGTCGCACGCACCCGATACGTGTCCCGGCAATCACATGCGGTAGTATGTCACGCGAACTGTACAGAATCCACGCTACCCACCCGAACATACGAAGATATCTGTGGTTGATATGGATCTTGGAAATACACGCCCTCACTTATCGTCACATTCAGCTGATTGCCACACAGCGTCATGCTCAGGAACAAGAATTCCTGAAAAACACTTTCACTAACAGAATTCGTCATTGGTAAATATTAGTAGTCAAAAATAGTGTGCTAGATCTCGACAAACATGACAGGTCAGCTATTTCCGGCCACAGTTAAGGCAAACTGATCGTCATTTTGAAAAATATTATCAAAAGAAGAACAGAAACTGTAAAGCGAAACAACGTGGGATGCTCGTCAGGGCCAGGGTCCACCCTACCGTTGGGACTTTTTGCAACGGCGAATTTTCTCCGCTCTCACCTCATTACATGTACCGGAGCACTACCGAAGCCAGTACGACCCCCCACAAACCCAACAAACTCGACCCCCCGTTGGTACTTGTCCCAACGTAGGGTTGACCCTGCAGGGCTCAGAAAAGGACTTTCGAAATTCGAAACTACGTTGTTCACTGATCCGGAGATCAATGGCTTGGAGAAGACTGGAAAACCAAACCGAAATGGCCCTTCAGAAGTCCCTATGATTAGGTGAAGAAACTCCGGTTTTGTTGTGAAATTCTGCTGAATGATAGAAAAAGTTATTGACTCGAAGAAGAATTATTTATGAAGGTCCTAGGTCAGTTTTCTCTTGATCTTGGGGCACAATTATGACACGTAAGCATTGCTGTAGCTTCTCTAAGATTACATTACATTCTAAGGCTTACATTTTGGCCTCTTCGCCTTTCGTCAGAGCCTGAAAATCGAAAAGCAATTGAGACCGATCCTTTCATGGGCCAAACAATCCTGAAGACAATTTCTCCAGAGCAGTAAACCAACCGAATGGTATCGATGGATTCAAAAGTGCTACAACACCCAGCTAGAACTTTGTCGCCGAGGCGCAACATCGACTACTCAAGAACTAGGACTACTGTAGAGAAAGGGTAAACCTATCTTCAACCATCCCTTTCACCGACTACAGTTCCTAGTTTCTTTTTCGTAATCTAACCCTAGTAGCACTCTCGAATCCATCGATACCGTTTGGTGATTTACTGTTTTGTAAAATGTCTTCAGGATTCTTTGGCATACGTTCTGTGCCTCTCACTTTTTCAGGCCGTGACGAAGGCGAAGAGGCATAAACGTAAGCCTAATCAAAATTGGAGAAGCTGCAGCTAAACATGTGCATCAAAGGTTTATAAATTGAGTTAAATCTAAATCTTCGCAG